GTTGCCGTTTTTATTCAAATCAATACTGTAGAGGTAACAAAAAGTATATATGGGTATTTTTCATAGGCGATTAGTCCGTTTGAGATACTGAAGGTAATGAGATATTGACTGTAAGGTGATACAGAAGTAGATCAATGTGTGTGTAATAATAAATAGGTGTTCCGGAATCCAAACCGAGCATCTGTCCTATAACAAAATATATAAAATCACAAAATATTTTTGGCCGACGACTGAACTTAAATTGTTTTTTTTGCTCACGCTTTACCCATGACACACGACTTTTCACCCGCGAAACACGATTATTAGTCCAACTCCAGGGTAGACGCTCAATATTAATAACAAATAAGCTGTCTAAATAGCTACATCGGCATTTAATTCGCTATTAGACTCCAAGACCTTTCTCAATGTTCACATCTGAATTGGTTACAAATTTCAGAGTATGCAAAACTGCCTAGAGCCTTGACCTTGCCTGTACTTAGACCTTTTTAATAAATATCGTCAAATAAATTAATAATCTCGGTCCATGCAGTATCACTGCATTGTATGCAGAATATGAACATATATATATATATATATATATATATATATATATATATATATATATATATATATATATATATAAACTTTTTATATAATGAATATTGCCTCAAAATTATACCTGAATTTGGCTGAATGCATGCCCGTAAGCGTAAAGCAAAACACAGTTTATAAAACTCGTATAGATTCTCGAAGATTCTCGACAAATACCTACGTCAAACGAAACATAATTCAAATACCAACAAATTATAAAGTACTAGGCTGAGCATAATCCGGAATCTATTTTGTTAGTTGTTCCTGCAACGCTGGCGCAATTTTCTCAGTCAGTTTAGGGGTATAATACATGTGCATGTCTGTTCCTGAAATATGTGTAACTACACGTATTTCAGGAACAGACACATGTAAAATACTTGTAACATATATAGTTTTGTTATATAGGTGCTGTGTATTTTAAATGTGAGTGGTTCATTCGTAGTCACATGACTTGTAAAAGTGAAAAATTGTTGCCCGCATATTGTCATAACGAAGTTTTTTGAAATGAAATTGTCGTGTGCCATGTATTTTTTTGTTTCTATATAACAAAACACTTAATGTTCGCTATACACCTCGGGAAATAGTGAGTTTTGTTTTCCCTCGAGTCTCAATGATTTCCTTGACTTCGTCTCGGGAAACATTCAGACTCTTGGGAAAACAAAACTCACTATTTCCCTCGGGAGCATACATTAAGTGTATAATATAAGTAAACCGCAGGTGCGATGGTTCTATTTATATGAATGTAAATCGTTCGTGATAAGGTTCAAACTAATATATACTTATTAACTTAGGCGAAATATGTAGCGGAGTACAGTGTATTCCTGGTCTAGTGCTTTATACATTCGTTGCATGTCTACCATCTAAATATTCTATAATATGCCTCGAACGTCCAGTCTTTTCTGGTCAATATAAACATCTGAATTGTTTCAAAATTTCAAATTACATTATTTCTAAAAACACCATTTGCTACTTTTTACTGATCTCTGTCATAAAAAATACTGCACACCGCAAAAATTAATTCGGTACTGTATCGAATGACTGGGCTTCGTAGTAACAAATATGTACTGGGTAAACAATATACTACACTTTTGGTGTTCACAGTACACAAGTATCTGTTTTGTACGATTTCCAACAGCATAAATAAATATTTTATAATTGGGCATGAATTGGAGTGTCAGTCGTCGTAATGTCATAAGAAAAACCAGCCCTTACTCATGTATCCATCATTTATAAAATATGCCAATTTATGATTCATTTTTTTTATATCATGCGGCATTTGTTTATTTCGAAAATCAACCCTCGATGCAATCAGTTTTCTATAGCCATTTTCTCCCTACAGTCCTAAAACAACCTATTAAAACTAAAAGAAATTATACAAAAATCTGGAGATGTCGTTCGCAATCGCAGTAATTCATACGTTGTAGCTAATTTGTTTTTATGCGAAATCCGACACATGAAAATCGAATTACAACAAATTACGACATGTGAAATGCAAGGAATTATGTCATATGAATACCACCACCCTTTACCTCTGTATGCATGCATAGTTTAGGCAGGACTATGCCAATTTATATAGATTTCGATTTTCCACCAAGTATTATTATTTTGTACACGTCTCGCTCTGCAGGAAACTGACATATTATTGGTTGACAGAACTGCTTTCATTTCTCTACTATATTGCGAAGTCATGGATGATTCATTTCTTTTGAAAATCATTCAAATTTTCATTCGTTTTACACAGCAATAATAATAGCATATAGGCTAACTATATCATTCTCGACAAGATTTTGCTGTGTAGACCCCGCATGTGTGTGATATATACCTTATAAAACGATTCCTATTAATTTTCATATTTGCTACACGGGATCAAATTTGATCGTTTAATTAACTGATTGCCTGTGGTATCATCGTATGGTGAAATGCGAAGTACGTAGGTAAATACTGTTCATGCACTTATTATATGTCCACATCATTATGTATAATATAGTCACAAAATACAGTACAGTGTTGCCGTTTTTATTCAGATCAATACTGTAGAGGTAACAATAAGTATATATGGGTATTTTTCATAGGCGATTAGTCCGTTTGAGATACTGAAGGTAATGAGATATTGACTGTAAGGTGATACAGAAGTAGATCAATGTGTGTGTAATAATAAATAGGTGTTCCGGAATCCAAACCGAGCATCTTTCCTATAACAAAATATATAAAATCACAAAATATTTTTGACCGACGACTGAACTTAATTTTTTTTATGCTCACGTTTTACCCATGACACACGACATTTCACCCGCGACACACAATCATTAGTCCAACTCCAGGGTAGACGCTCAATATTAATAACAAATAAGCTGTCTAAATAGCTACATCGGCATTTAATTCGCTATTAGACTCCAAGACCTTTCTCAATGTTCACATCTGAATTGGTTACAAATTTCAGAGTATGCAAAACTGCCTAGAGCCTTGACCTTGCCTGTACTTAGACCTTTATAATAAATATCGTCAAATAAATTAATAATCTCGGTCCATGCAGTATCACTGCATTGTATGCAGAATATGAACATATATATATAATATATATAATATATATATATATTATATATATATATATTATATATATATATATATATATATATATGTATAAACTTTTTATATAATGAATATTGCCTCAAAATTATACCTGAATTTGGCTGAATGCATGCCCGTAAGCGTAAAGCAAAACACAGTTTATAAAACTCGTATAGATTCTCGAAGTTCTCGACTACTCTACGTCAAACATAATTCAAATACCAACAAATTATAAAGTACTAGGCTGAGCATAATCCGGAATCTATTTTGTTAGTTGTTCCTGCAACGCTGGCGCAATTTTCTCAGTCAGTTTAGGGGTATAATACATGTGCATGTCTGTTCCTGAAATATGTGTAACTACACGTATTTCAGGAACAGACACATGTAAAATACTTGTAACATATATAGTTTTGTTATATAGTGCTGTGTATTTTAAAAGTGAGTGGCATTCGTAGTCACATGACTTGTAAAAGTGAAAAATTGTTGCCCGCATATTGTCATAACGAAGTTTTTTGAAATGAAATTGTCGTCCATGTATTTTTTGTTCTATATAACAAACACTTAATGTTCGCTATACACCTCGGAAATAGTGAGTTTTGTTTTCCCTCGAGTCTCAATGATTTCCTTGACTTCGTCTCGGGAAACATTCAGACTCTTGGGAAACAAAACTCACTATTTCCCTCGGAGCATACATTAAGTGTATAAATAAGTAAAACCGCAGGGTGCGATGGTTCTATTTATATGAATGTAAATCGTTCGTGATAAGGTTCAAACTAATATATACTTATTAACTTAGGCGAAATATGTAGCGGAGTACAGTGTATTCCTGGTCTAGTGCTTTATACATTCGTTGCATGTCTACCATCTAAATATTCTATAATATGCCTCGAACGTCCAGTCTTTTCTGGTCAATATAAACATCTGAATTGTTTCAAAATTTCAAATTACATTATTTCTAAAAACACCATTTGCTACTTTTTACTGATCTCTGTCATAAAAAATACTGCACACCGCAAAAATTAATTCGGTACTGTATCGAATGACTGGGCTTCGTAGTAACAAATATGTACTGGGTAAACAATATACTACACTTTTGGTGTTCACAGTACACAAGTATCTGTTTTGTACGATTTCCAACAGCATAAATAAATATTTTATAATTGGGCATGAATTGGAGTGTCAGTCGTAATGTTGTCATAAGAAAAACCAGCCCTTACTCATGTATCCATCATTTATAAAATATGCCAATTTATGATTCATTTTTTTTATATCATGCGGCATTTGTTTATTTCGAAAATCAACCCTCGATGCAATCAGTTTTCTATAGCCATTTTCTCCCTACAGTCCTAAAACAACCTATTAAAACTAAAAGAAATTATACAAAAATCTGGAGATGTCGTTCGCAATCGCAGTAATTCATACGTTGTAGCTAATTTGTTTTTATGCGAAATCCGACACATGAAAATCGAATTACAACAAATTACGACATGTGAAATGCAAGGAATTATGTCATATGAATACCACCACCCTTTACCTCTGTATGCATGCATAGTTTAGGCAGGACTATGCCAATTTATATAGATTTCGATTTTCCACCAAGTATTATTATTTTGTACACGTCTCGCTCTGCAGGAAACTGACATATTATTGGTTGACAGAACTGCTTTCATTTCTCTACTATTGCGAAGTCATGGATGATTCATTTCTTTTGAAAATCATTCAAATTTTCATTCGTTTTACACAGCAATAATAATAGCATATAGGCTAACTATATCATTCTCGACAAGATTTTGCTGTGTAGACCCCGCATGTGTGTGATATATACCTTATAAAACGATTCCTATTAATTTTCATATTTGCTACACGGGATCAAATTTGATCGTTTAATTAACTGATTGCCTGTGGTATCATCGTATGGTGAAATGCGAAGTACGTAGGTAAATACTGTTCATGCACTTATTATATGTCCACATCATTATGTATAATATAGTCACAAAATACAGTACAGTGTTGCCGTTTTTATTCAGATCAATACTGTAGAGGTAACAATAAGTATATATGGGTATTTTTCATAGGCGATTAGTCCGTTTGAGATACTGAAGGTAATGAGATATTGACTGTAAGGTGATACAGAAGTAGATCAATGTGTGTGTAATAATAAATAGGTGTTCCGGAATCCAAACCGAGCATCTTTCCTATAACAAAATATATAAAATCACAAAATATTTTTGACCGACGACTGAACTTAATTTTTTTTTATGCTCACGTTTTACCCATGACACACGACATTTCACCCGCGACACACAATCATTAGTCCAACTCCAGGGTAGACGCTCAATATTAATAACAAATAAGCTGTCTAAATAGCTACATCAGCATTTAATTCGCTATTAGACTCCAAGACCTTTCTCAACGTTCACATCTGAATTGGTTACAAATTTCAGAGTATGCAAAACTGCCTAGAGCCTTGACCTTGCCTGTATATAGACCCTTATAATAAATATCGTCAAAATAAATTAATAATCTCGGTCCAGTATCACTGCATTGTATGCAGAATATGAACATATATATTTAAACTTTTTATATAATGAATATTGCCTCAAATTATACCTGTATTTGGCTGAATGCATGCCCGTAAGCGTAAAGCAAACACAGTTTATAAAATTCGTAGATTCTCCGGCAAAGATTCTCGACAAATACCAAATATCAGTCAGTTCAGGGGTATAATACATGTGTCTGTTCCTGAAATATGTGTAACTACACGTATGATGTCGTCATGGCCAAAATACTTGTAATATATATAGTAATGTAAATAAACCGCAGCTGCGATGGTTCTATTTATATGAATCTAAATCGTTCGTGATAAGGTTCAAACTAATATATACTTATTAACGTAGGCGAAATATGTAGCGGAGTACAGTGTATTCCTGGTCTAGTGCTTTATACATTCGTTGCATGTCTACCGAGTAGACCATCTAAATATTCTATAATATGCCTCGAACGTCCAGTCTTTTCTGGTCAATATAAACATCTGAATTGTTTCAAAATTTCAAATTACATTATTTCTAAAAACACCATTCGCTACTTTTTACTGATCTCTGTCATAAAAAATACTGCACACCGCAAAAATTAATTCGGTACTGTATCGAATGACTGGGCTTCGTAGTAACAAATATGTACTTTGTAAACAATATACTACACTTTTGGTGTTCACAGTACACAAGTATCTGTTTTGTACGATTTCCAACAGCATAAATAAGTATTTTATAATTGGGCATGAATTGGAGTGTCAGTCGTAATGTTGTCATAAGAAAAACCAGCCGTTACTCATGTATCCATCATTTATAAAATATGCCAATTTATGATTCATTTTTTTTATATCATGCGGCATTTGTTTATTTCGAAAATCAACCCTCGATGCAATCAGTTTTCTATAGCCATTTTCTCCCTACAGTCCTAAAACAACCTATTAAAACTAAAAGAAATTATACAAAAATCTGGAGATGTCGTTCACAATCGCAGTAATTCACACGTTGTAGCTAATTTGTTTTTATGCGAAATCCGACATATGAAAACCGAATTACAACAAATTACGACATGTGAAATACAAGGAATTATGTCATATGAATACCACCACCCTTTACCTCTGTATGCATGCATAGTTTAGGCCGGACTATGCCAATTTATATAGCTTTCGATTTCCACCAAGTATTATTATTTTGTACACGTCTCGCTCTGCAGGAAACTGACAAACTATATTGCGAAGTAATGGATGATTGATTTCTTTTGAAAATCATTCAAATTTTCATTCGTTTAAAGCTAACAATACGCAAGAATAATAATAGCATATAACTATATCATTCTCGACAAGATTTTGCTGTGTAAACCCTGTGTGTGATATATACCTTATAGAACGATTTCTATTTATTTTGATATTTGCTATACACGCGGGATTAAAATTGATGGGTTAATTAATTGCTGTATTTTGGTAGTTTCATCGCATGGTGGAATGCCAAGTACGTAAGTAAATACTATTCATTTGTTATATGTCCACGTACATCATTATGTATATACTGTCACAAAACATGCACGGTACAGTGTTGCCGTTTTTATTCACACCCAATACTGTAGCAGTAATATAGTATATATGGGTATTTTGCATAGGCGATCAATTAGGCTGTTTGAGATGCTGACTGTAAGGTGACTAAAAATTCTTGAGAAACCTTTAATCAGACCAAGCGCTTATTCCTATTTCCTAATATATTTCGATATGCTCATATATCCACAATTGTTGACGAAGCATGCACCTGTCTCTTTGCTTAGTATGTGCATGGTTAATTGCGGACCTAACGTTTTAATAAAACACGACGCGATTACCTCTAGAAATGTGGATTTCTTTTTGATTTACAAAATCGTAGAGAATTGAATAGAAGAGAATTGTTGCGTGCTTATTGTATAAAGAAGCGGTATTCGCAATGAGATCGGCTATAATTTGGGACTTCAGTGAAACGGATGAAGAATTACATGATAAGTGTATCCATTCGGGATAATAGAGTTTCCAACATCAGTATGCGAACCTTTGTAGTAAATTGCGTGCAAAGACGTATAGAATGTGCGGGCAGAGAATCACATTGTTGCATGTCAACCCATTCTATCGCCATACTGTCATGCAGTTATATATATATATATAAAATATGAAATGAAACGAAAAATTTAGCAGGGAAGTGTTCTTGATAACAATAACAAAATATTTTTACCCCACTGAACTTAAAACTATTTTTTGCTGATGGCTTTACCCACGACGCACGACATTTCACCCACGACACACGATCATACTCCATGTACGGTATAGATGCTCAATATAACAAATAGACCGTCTAAACACATCGGTATTTAATAGTTATTGTAGTTAATGTCTCCAAGATCTTTCTCAATGTCCACATCTTAATTGCTTATAAATTTCAGAACAAAACTGCGTAGAGCCTTGTATATACCTATCAATAAATACCTGTATTTGAATGGTTGAATGCCCCAAAGCGCAAAGCAAAACACAAGTACAGGGTGTCCCAAAAAAATGTCCCCCTATAAAAATCATTCTTGAGCGTTATTGTACCTATGGGAATTGAATTGAATTGTACATAAACGGTGCAAATTTATTCGTCAAAGTAATTAATCGCGATGATGGAAGCAAGCAAAACGATTTTACAAATGAATGGTTTTCTGCTTTTTTACATGAATTAACTGATTTAGCCTTTAGAAAAAGCTATGGGCCATGCCCTTCAATGTGTCCCCCATTTCGTTCGACACAAATAATTGTCCGTTTGTGCATGTGGCGTACTGCATTACGAATCATTTCAGGCTGCTGCCGTAAAACATTAAATTCCTCGATTATTCTCTGTCGTAGCTCATCGATGTTCTGGGGTGGAGTGGCAAACACTTTATTCTTAAGATATCCCCACATAAAAAAATCACATGGGATTAAATCTGGCGAGCGAGGGGGCCATTCCACATTATGTTGCAGCGCTATCACACGATTCTGCCCGAAAACTTCATTGAGGCGATCTCGAACTGCAACCAGACGATGTGCTGGAGCGCCGTCCTGCGCCCACCAGAGCCCTCGAAACATTCCTTCCCAATGTTGATTGTTGAAATGAATGGCAAGTTGAGGAAAAGCAAATTCATTGAGCATCTGAAGATATGCGAGGCCGTCCACATTTTGGTCAAAAAAGTAAGGGCCTAAAATCACGCCATTACCGCCCAGATAGTAAGCTTTACACGGGAATTCCTGCGTTCGAAGTTAAATGCCGGTGGTTGTCCCCTCGGTGCATATTCGCGCACGTTGTGGGAGTTAACTTCTCCATTCAATGCAAATCCTGCTTCGTCTCCAATAATGATGCTCTGCAAAAAGTTTTGGTTTCGACAGCGTTCATTAAACCATTGCGCATAGCGTAGTCGACGTGGCAAGTCGTCTGGCAATAGCTCATGCCGTACGTGCATTCTGTAAGGATGCCATCGTAAATCTAATCTTGTAATCCTGTTAAAGGTTGATTTTGAAACTTCAACAGGATTACGACGAGAGCTAACACCTCGTGGGGTTTCCGCTAGCAAAGCTCTCACAGCTGCAACGTTCGCTTCACTTCGACCAGTCTTTCGCCTGCCCGAATATCCCTTGTTGCGGTTTAAGCTTGTTTCCGTGTTTTGATACTTACGTACGAACGTTTCTCCTAATTGTCTTTTTACAAGGAGGATTCCGAGTGGGAAATTCGACTTTTGCACTTCGGTTACGCTTTGGGTTAACGTGTAATTTGTTACGATAAATACTCGCTGCTGTGATGTCAATTGAACCATTTTAAGGCATTCTTACTGGAATTAGTAATCAATTTGTAATTTCAAATTTTTGTGTTGCTGTTCGGTTTAGAAACTATTTTAATTTCCCAGAGGTATAATACCGCGCGTTCAACAAAAGATGAGTAATTTGTATAGGGGGACATTTTTTTGGGACACCCTGTATATAAAACTCGTATAGTCGTATTTTCGAAGATTCTCGACGAATATGTCAAACGAAACAAAATCGCGCGATTAGAAACTGCACGGGAATTGGGAAATTGTTTATGTGATAAAAAGAGTCCACAAGAGCCGTTTATGATCAATTTTTTGGTAGTTCTCTCCACTCCGTGTATTTATACTAACAGACGAATGATGAGAACAACAGCAAAACACTATCACGTCAAATAATTGTAAATACATGTGTCTGTTCCTGAATGACGTCATGGACAAAGCCATATTTTGTCGTCAAAGCCATATTTTGTAGAGCTTTTAATTAACGAACGAACGTTCAGAAGCACTTAAACTAAAACAGTGGATTAAAATTTAACCCAGGGTTAGCGCACTAGCGCACTTATACATTCGTTGTAACGAGTAAACCATATTATATAGACTAAATATTCTATAATGCCTCGAATGTCCAGTCTTCTCTATATAGTCAATACAGGGTGAGTGAAAAAAACCTGACACTTTGAAGGTCAAATTAGCCGCCAACTTATGGCTGGAATTTGACAATGCCCATGTGTACAATAAACAAGACGTGGTTAATTAATGCGATTGAACTAATTCAACGTGGCGCGCGTGTGCTAGAAAAACGATTTGATAAAACTGGGTTTTTTTTATTCACAGAGCTTAGAATGCATTTTAACTACAAAAGGGAACAAACCTTATGTTCTAGGTTAATTAATGGGTGCAATGTTTATGGGCTGGACTTGTTGTTATTGTCTTATCAGACAACTAAAATTGACTGTGTAAATGTACGATTAACTCATTCAATTTTTTGTCACTTACATACCATTAAAGCCCGCCGCACACGTGAGCTATTAGGGAACTTAAGCACTGACGTTTTTGAACGCAGCGACGGCTACCGGGAGTCAGTTTCACTTCCGGTAAATATTTTTTGAGTTTAGTTGTTGCCGTCGCGACTCGGCGCCAACCTGTAATGGGCTATTTTTCCGCGATGTCTCTAAAACGGCGCAAACAAGCTATAAAATTTGGCTACAAATGCATGGCAACTAAGCCTGGATTTAGAACGTCACTGTGGGTTCCATTGAATTACTCTATGTCCGTGATTATCGTATATAAAATCAGTAAATAAATTTGATATCATGCACATCTCCGGAACCGATTGGCCAAAGCGTTAAATCATATCGGAGTATCGACATGGATATGCGAGGCGGTTCAAGAGCATACACAGTCCTTTAAGTCCAGAACAGGTTGTTCTTTGTGGGCATTTAATTACAGTGTTTTCTGAAGAAATACATGGTTGCGCTTTTGTATTCTAAATTCTGCTAAACATTCAGCTTCGTTCAGTGTCATCCAGACAAAAAGGCAAATAATTGCTGTTTGGAAACTCTGGATTCCTTGAATCGTACGCTAAGTGCATTAAAATAAATTCTTCTTCCATCAGAATACTTTCTTCAAACAGTACTAAACAAAACTCTCTAGTTTCTCGAAACGAAGACATCTCCCGTCGCTGCAGTTTGCTTAAATGCTTTGAAATTCGCGGGGAACGGCATAGCAGTTTCCAGTGACGTTGCCGTTGGCTCGAAGAACGTCACTTGCTCAGTTAAGTTCCCTATTTGCTGAGGTAAAGACCACGCGTGGCTGTTAGCTCAGCAAGTTACTCTCGTGTGCGGATAGTTTTTCGTGAGGAATTCGCCTCGAGAGGCAAGTTTCTGACGTGTGCGGATGGTTTTCGGGCTGAGCTAACTGCCTCGCGAGGTCGTTACCTCAGCTGATAGCTCTCGTGTGCGGCGGGCTTAAACCAGAAATACATGCAAGTAGATGATTCCCAGTCTTCAAGGACTAAACGTTAAATGTTATTCTTCGAATGTTTATGCACCGACATTATTTGCAATGGAATAGTAGACGTTTTTAGCAGGCACATATTATTAGGAAAAATTTTGGTAATAGGCTAGACGTTACAATAAAAAAACTTTGAAGAGATTTGTTTTATAACACTTAGTAGTTAATAGATTATGTAAAATTAATATCCCCTTATATAGCATTTGATAGCTTATCTGTGATTTAAACTCTATACCTTTAATTATTTTTTTAATTTCCAGAAGAGAATGACTAAAGAAAGAATACTTGCATCATCAACAAACAATATTATTGAAATAATTTCACCTCAATATTGGATGTCATTCGAGTAGGTATATTACATATTTCAGTTTTTAATTTGTTGCATTGCTTGATTTCGTAGATTATCAAGACTTTTTTGTTTAACATCTGATTAGTGATTACTATAGTATTTCGCGTCATTCTGCCTGATATTCAGTGGCGTAGCCAGCCTGACGATTTTGTCCCGCTATGTAAATTTCAAGTCATTATAATTATTCATGTCTTTAGAAATCTATTGTTTTCACAGTCCGTGAGCATTAAAATATTAACATAGCGGGACAAATCGACAGGCTGGCTACGCTACTGCTGATATTACTCAAAGCATAATCTACAAGTACAAGTAGAGCTATAAATATGAATGGTCCCTGTGTCTTTTCTTGATGTCTTTAGTGTTTATGTAGCTACCGTATAAATGTTACAGCGTTGACTGACAGTGAGAATTCAGTATGTTGTTTCTATAGACGATTGAGAAACGTTTGCCTAGAAAGGAACATCTAAGGGTGGGTGTAGCATACGATATGGAAAGATTTTCCAACAACACTACCAGATTTATGGCAAAATGTTTGGGAAGCTTTGGAAGGTTTTGATAGTCAGCTTTCAATTTCTGTTTTGTTTTGATAATTTCAGATTTTGGCATGGCAGGTATCTGTGCAACAATTCATGGCGGTTCTTTCAAGATTTCCATTTTCGCGGACAAAGCTACTGCTAGGGAATTCATAGGAGCAGCGGCTGTAGTCTCAGTCGCACTGAGTGGAATATATGCGTTTTACAAGTATAAATCACGTGGACAGGAATTGGAGCATGCTATTAAAAGAGGCCTTGGTGGCGAAAGAGAAGATCAGAGAGTTCGCGATATACGACCAGGAAGTCTTCGCGTCTCCCTGGATTGCGTCACGGATAAAAGATTTCTCGAGGTTTTAGAAGATTTTAAATCCGGAAGAATGAAAGAACGCCTGAACAAAGAACTTACAAGTTTTGGTTTGGAAATTGAGGGATTGGAGGTAAAAATTGAGAATATCGAAGAAGTAGAAGAAAGAGCAGCAGCCATTAAAAGGTAATAGCGATTTCTAAACATGATTGCGAATTTGATTTATTTGTGATGTTATTGTGCATCTTCAATAGCCTCTTCTTTAATTGACACGGAACTCAGGGTCCCAGATTCAAAACTAAGTAGTAGTATTTATTTAAAGTAATGGACCTTTTGCATTATAAATACACTCTTACGCTCTATTATACTAAAATACATATTCCACCTTTCCTAAGACCGCTTTGAAAATTTCAATTACATCCATCATATAATAGAAACGATAACTCATTTAAATTGTTTGATATAAGCATATAGGATAAAGTTTGTCAATATTTTTATCGTAGCTCCGCCGTATTTGTTATTTAAAAACTTAAAGGTTCATTAGGGCCATTTATACGAGGAAAAATAAGTCGCGACCTATTTAAGACGCGACTTAAATAAAGACGCGACCTCGTCGTATCATATATCGTCGTTTGACCGTGAGGTGTTGCGCTTTTTCACCGGAAGTGACGTACATTGCAGAACACGATATATATATTAATATATATATATATATATATATATATATTATATATATATTATATTATATATTATTATATATAATATATATATATATATATTATTAAATTATATATTATATTATTATATATTATATATATATATATATATATATAGGCAAAAATGTTCTCCGTGTTTACTATACTCACCCTTCAACGGGCATATTCAAACCTAAGAATGTAAATTTGTCCCTTTCCCTCACCAGCTCACTCGTTAAGAGTGCCTAGGCCTTGGGACCCTAGGAGGCGGTTTAAAAGGAGAAAGGAACACACACACAGCCCAAGCCATACGTCCATCCAAAGCGTTCATCGGCTTTTTAACTATATTAACTATATTAATATATATTAACTATACTATATTAACTATACTAACTATATATTAACTATATTAACTATACTATATTAACTATACTAACTATATATTAACTATATTAACAATACTATACTATATTAACTATATTACGTATTTTTAACTATACTTATTTCCTGCATTGTAAGAATGTTCATGACGACGATGAGATGAGTTGTGTGGCACTTGGACATTTGATATGTTAAGAATGTACATTCTCACTGATAAATACGTAAAATCGATCTCTCACATTCAAGCCGATGAACGCTTTGGATGGACGTATGGCTTGGGCTGTGTGTGTGTTCCTTTCTCCTTTTAAACCGCCTCCTAGGGTCCCAAGGCCTAGGCACTCTTAACGAGTGAGCTGGTGAGGGAAAGGGACAAATTTACATTCTTAGGTTTGAATATGCCCGTCAAGGGTAAGTATAGTAAACACGGAGAACATTTTTGCCTATATTATTACCTGTGTTGCAACTCCAAATTTGTTTTGGAGCAAATCATGTTCAATATATATATATTAATATATATATTATATATTATATATATATATAATATAATTATATAAATATATATATATATATATATATATATATATATATATATATATATACATATATATTATATATATCGTCAGAAACGATATTAACCCTTGACGGGCATATTCAAACCTAAGAATATAAATTTACATTCTAGAGAGCCAATGAATAGCTTCGTTAATGTATGCCGCTTATAATATATCATTAACACGGCATAAGTGTAATCTTCGTTCCCCGAAATTATCCTTAACCTTAATCCTAATTAAATTATCCTTAATCCTTGACGAGTCTAGTCTGCGGTCAGTTTACGAACGCATGGCCAGACAGGCATTTCAATATGGATGCCAAGCATGCGTGGTTTAGCTCTAATTTAGAAATCCAATATGGCGTCCCATAAAAAAATGACCTGCGGCTAAAGAAAGGAATCCAGTCCGGCTATGATTGTCTACCTTATCTAGTCTGGGACCGGCTGCGGAAATTCTTAAAGGCAAAAACATTTAAAAATAAACCTATCCCACACCGTAAACCCTAAAACTAACCAGAAGGTATTGTAGATTCAATGGACCTTTTGCATAATAGACCAACTTTTGATTTAGGCAACAAAAAGGAAATTTCCGAAAAGAGCATACTAAATTTAGTTAAAACAAAATTGGCTTCTTTGCATTGCTATATTTTCCGTAATACTTGACATTTTGCGGCTAAACTTGGCAAATATACTGATAATGATGATTGATTTCCTTCTGAATTGTTACCTAGATCGTAAGTTGGTCTATTATGCAAAAGGTCCATTATTGCAACATTGAAAAAGTTTAAAAAAATATTTCGCACACAGAACGAGCTCATTACCTTTCGACCACCGGATAGCTGCTTAAATTTTCCGTAGTTTAGCTGTATTTATAGTGCTCAAGAACGAAAAAGAATTCAAACAGACGTGGTTACAAAGCTATACAATAAACAAGCCGGACTACATTCCTTTCTTCGGCCGCAAGTAAAGAAACGAGTGGGGAATTATTAAAATTCGCCTTCAATTTAACCTACAATTGAGAAGTCATGTTTGTCCACGTCCAAAACACCATTCATTTTATTGATCTTTCACCGCTGAAAATTTGAGGACAAGTCTAGTTGCCCAAGTATGTTCCCGAGAAAGAATATTTTTACGATTGAAATTTTATAAGAAAGTATATACTTCGTACATATTAGGTACCTTACTGCTCCAATTTCTGCTCGTTGTTGGCACGCATCGCCAAATATCCACGTCAGAGCTGGTAAACACTCTATAGCTTTATCCCCGAGCGGGCGCGGAGCGCCGAGGCTACTAATTCCGTTCGGGGATTAGGAATTACACCCGGAACCCGGGAGAACATAGCGGAATCCAAAGTTGTCCAAATTCTATGTCATGCACGGTCGACGTTGGGTGGTCTGGGTGGTTTTGTAAGTTATGCGCATGCGCAAGTAACGACTGGTAATCATCAAACGTTCTCATTGGCTAAGACAGAAAGTTTGTATTTCAATGAAAACGTCAGCAATTTAACTGTCATTTCGTAAACCTTTTTGTAAAAGCGTTTCATAAACTTTGTGCAAAACAAAACAAGAAGAAACGAGATATATGAAGCATGTCAAAACAAAGCCGTGTAAGAGAAATAATTCATAATCTGCAAGCTTATAAGTGTTTTCAAAGGGTATATAGCAACGTGTTTACTTTGTTAGTTTGTTTATTTCGTATTAATATGTTTAGCGGTAAGGATGAGCTGTATTATTATAATTTTCAGCTTTGTATGCCGTTTATTTGTTTAATTTTCAGCTTTGTATAATTTTCAGCTTTTTATACAAACGCATAAACCTGCAAGGCTATTACACCTTTGCTTTAGCTTCAAAAAGTGTTTTTGAAAGTGTAATTTCCATTTTGATATAAAAATACACACTATATTAAAGTATAAAACTTTTAGCCGTTAACTGCATTACAGAATAAAATAACATTTGAGGTTTTTTCTTTGTCTCTGAAGATTTTGTACTATTTTAACCGTTTGAAATTTCGATTTAAACCATTACTTAATTGCTGCTGGTATATTTATAACGCAGCAAAATTGAACGGGCAATGTTTACACTAGCTTTATGAATATTTTTGTGTCAGTGAATGATGGAAACATAAACTATAATATACACGGTAAAATGATATACACTGTAAAATGATTAAATATACACGGTAAGACTGACTTGAGTTTTGTGTCATTTCATAATATAAGTTTAGCACTTTAGGTCAGGTTAGCTCAGGAAATTGTGTACTTTGTTTGAAATAGCGAGGGGTTGCTGCATGCATGTATTTCTAATTTACATCGCATTTTAGAAGCTTAAAATGACGCTTAAATGTGTTCACCAACGCGATGAAATACATCAATTTCGTTAGCTGTTGCTATGATACAACTGCCAATGAACTAAATTAATAATGAACTTAAAACTGAACCGCGCGAGCCCACAAGCCTCACCGCTTACCGGCCAACTGGAATAATGTTTGTATTTTACAGCAAAATGGGAAAAACTGGGAATGGAAATGCACAAGATATAACAACTGATTTAAATTCGAAGGAATCAGAAACGTATAAGAAATCGCCAGATGTAGGCGGAAATAGTGAAGAGAGAAACGACTTACCAAGGGAAGGTAAGGTGTTACACAAATTTTTTTAACAACTCTAAATGTAAACGAATTAGCGGAATTACTGCCTGGCAGAGTCTTCACTCACGAGTCACGACCATAAATGTATTGTGGCGCATATATATAGTGGTAATTAACAGGCACATGAAGCAAGATTCAATGGCGTATTAAGTACTTGCCCGGTTTATACTGGAGACGTATCATCCGTCTGGACGAACTTGGGCATGCGAAAGAAAGTTCGTCTTCTATAGTTCGACTGTGCGTAAACACGGGCAAACATGCAGACCGATCATCCGTCAACACGATGTTTCGTCTATTTAGATGAATATATATCCGCATAGATTTTTTCCGCACAGTTCGTCTATATTTATAGACAAAATTGGCTAGTTCGTCTTGACGCATCATTCGTCTGTTAGTATACGGAAAATTCATCATAAAACGGTTCTTGTGCACTCTTTTTACACAATAAATAATTTCCTTGCCATGCACATCCGTTCCGAATATTTCCTGTGCATTTTCTATATAAACGCGCGATTCTGTTTCGTTTGACATATATTTGTCTACATAGTTCGTCTTCATAGTTTGTCTTGTCTTTTACTCTGCCAGGCGGACCATTCGTCCCTAGTAAAAATCGGACTATTGATAATTGGGCGGACACATATTCATATATTCATGTTAACAGAGTTTAAAGACAATTAATTTGAAAAGAAATTGATCATGCAGAGCATGAATATGGATATGCCACTGGCAAGATGTATCGAAAATATAACACTTTTTTTACAAAACCATAAACAACTAAGTTTTATATATTTGTTTCTTGAACTTAGCGATCCCTGGCGATCTTTCAAAACATTCACCTCCAGCCTTAAAAAGGGAGAAAGGTGAAATGGAACAGTCTGACCAATCTTCAGAAGCATCAACAATCTCTCATGCCACCGTTAAGATAACAAACACAAGGAATGAGAACGCACAAACACCTACTCAAAAATACAGTTTAAAACATGCACGAGCAATCGATAACCACACATATAGCGACAAACAATTAACATCCAAACCAGAAATGTTTAATTACATTATTAAATCGTTAATGATAGGTAATTACCCAGTAAGTGAATTAAGAATAAAACCGCAAATTTCAAATGATTGTGATTCAAGTGAAAGTGACGAAGAGGACCTTGGAAGATTCAATCCTATGGATGCAATACTTGATTTATTTCAACGTTCTGATGATTCTTTGAGACGTTATCTCGTCAATAAATTATCTGCGCGTCAACTCAGCGTCCCTTTTCTTCTCCCTGACCCCGAAGCACCTACCGTCACAATTCTGTTATCAGCGTTAGAGAACATCACTAAGTGCTGGAAAGATGGGACCAGCACAAAACAAGTGTTTGCGACAGAACATCCATTTCCAGTGGTTTCTTTTATCCGAATTGGCGAACCTACCATGTCCAAATCATTGTTGATTAACAAAATCATGAGTGACGGAGACAGTTACCATGACTACTTCTTCCACAAAGACATGAAAGGTGGCCATGTTGAAAGAAAATTCGTGGATGGTTTGGTTGAGTTAATTTGGTTTCTTCCTGGAGGGAGTGAGAAACAAACATTACGAAGTGAAATTTGTTTTGCAAATCTTCGCGGAGATGCCAAAAGTTTAAAGAAGCAGCTTGACGTCCTCTTAAAGATTTCCTCCGTGTTATGTATCTTATTACCTTCTATTTATCCAAACGAAACCGACAAAACCATCCCGAAAGATTTTTTGCAAGAAGCTTTAATGCGTTTTAAAGGAAAAATCATCCTTATTTTTAACGAGGAAATACAACAAACTAATGCGAAAACATATTTCGAAAATTTGACCCGTGAAAAGTTCCTCTTGATCACGAAAGCGGGAAAAAGGAATGAAGAACGATTCCTCCAGGAAATAAGGAAAAAAATGCAGAGAAATATAAATGGGGGGGAAAAATCACCTCTTGTACAGCTGCGATCACATCTACGCGACGCTGACATTTGCTTTGACGATGTTTCCTATCAAATTAAATTGGAATGGCTAATGAAATTGGAAATTGAGAAGGCTAAACCTCTTCTGAAATTGCAAACACATATTCCACAATTAGCCGAATTGGAGCGCAAAAAATATTGTCCAAAATCTAGCAGCAATGACGATGACATCAATGAAAATATCCACAACGAGAAGATGGCTCAAAAAGAATCCTTCCGGCAGATGGATGAAGGAATTGTCGAGTGTCTGAATAACATTACAAAGAGGGATGAAAGTCGAGGATATTTTAACATGAATAAGATAAAACATCATTTGGATATAATGTCCATTCAAACCGTGACTGAATTCCAAAGCAGCTCTCGCGAAGTTTTGCCCAAATTTCCAAAGAAAATAGTGTCGCCAAAGAAGTTGGACAAACAATCCTCTGAGATGTCAAATTTCAAAGAATCAACAACCAAATGTTCTTTTGGTATAGAACACTTCATCAGAGAACTTGCTCAACTTCACCAGCTGGACGAAAGTAAATACGACTATGCAGGTGATGCTGCGGACATGTTGCTCTCAGGACAACCTCTTGAGATACTAGATGGTGATTCCTTTTACATTCCACTGGAATGGTTTAAAGCCGTATATACTAAACTAGATAATAAGACGAATAATGCTAAGATATTTGTCGTTTCGGTTGTTGGAGTTCAAAGTTCAGGTAAGTCAACAATGTTAAACACGATGTTTGGTTTAGAATTCACAGTCAGTGCTGGTAAATGTACTCGTGGCGTTTTTGCTAGTCTAATACCTGTAAGTGGATCGGTTAGGTCTGAGTCAGAGTTTGATTATATTTTGGTCGTTGATACTGAAGGTTTAACAGAATCCGCTGATCACGAGTCACGGGAACATGACAATAAGTTAGCGACTTTTACAATCGGTGTTGCTGATGTTGTTATAGTGAATATATTCGGTGAAAATTACAATGAAATAAATGAATTTTTGCAAATAGTAGTCTATGCTTTTTTAAACATGAATGTTGTCGACCAAAAGAAGAAGTTCTGCAAATTTCTCCATCAAAATGTCGTAGCCATAGATGCCGGTGATATATTGACCCTAAAACGTTTCAAGCTCAAGAAAGATCTCAACGAAATCACAAGGCTTGCAGCTATAAAAAACAGTTACAAATGTCAAACACTTGATGATATTTTATCATTTGATGTAAATGAAGACTTTTTTTATATGCCAAGTCTTCTGCAGGGAAGCCGACCAATGGCTCCAGTGAATCCTGAATATGGAAGAGCAGTTCAGAGGGTGAAAGAAAACATTGTGAAACAGATGTGTTCAAAAGAAACTTTAAAACTTTCTTTTTTACACTTTCGCGAAAGGGTCTGCAATCTGTGGGAAGCAATACTGACCGAAGAGTTCACATTTACGATGCGCAATATAATTGAGATAAGGGCTAGCAAGTCATTAGACGAAAAACTATCCCATGAGATCGCGAATATAATAGTTATAGGAATGAAAAAGCTAGAAAAAGGTATCAAGGAAACTCTGGTAGGATGTAAAACGCGAGAAGATCGAATAAAAGAATGGGAAAAGACACAAGTGGAAGAAAAGATACAAGTCGAAGCGAAAAAATTGAAGGATGACGTCAAAGAGTCGATGAATGAATTTTTTAAAACTAACGAGGACAGGGAATATCTTGCAGAGCGGAAACCGGAGGTTATGAAAGCTATTGAGCGTCAGGCGGATAAGGAAGAGTCACAGGTGTTCAAAAATTGTCAATTAACCTTCAATAGGTTACAGGATTCACAAGAAGTCAAAGGAAACATAGCGGAATGGGAAAGTAGTTTGAGGGGTAAAGCTAAGAAACTCGTATCGTCTAAGCCCGATATTGATGACAAGGAATTTGCAAAAGAATGGAATAGATGGATGGAAGATGTTCCAGAATATAAAGAAAGATACGATATCAATAAGGATATGGTGGAAGTGCTTTGCACCACAGATGCTCTATTAGAAGTGGAAATGAGCAAGAAATTAAACCAACAAGAAAAAACGATATCAAACTTTAAAGAAATTGCTCCAATAATTAATAATGACCGACTTATCTGTAACTTCGACGAAATGGGTACGTTGAAGGACCAGGCATGGGAGCTATGCCACTCTGACTCTAAAACCATCTGGAAGGTCGCTAAAAGAAAAGCACTGCAGTTTGCGGAGGAGAAATCAAACTTAGGAGCAAGATGTACACGTGATGACCTAAAAGAAATGTACTTTAAGGTGATCTCGACCATAAATGAAGAAACCGAAAGATCTCCAATGAAATTCCAAAATTCTTTAAAATGTGATATCTTGCTAAATGTTTTTGCCAATGCATGTGAAATTTTCGAAAAAATGGAAAAACGTTTCATTCAAGAACGAGACATTCGAAGGCATCTTGAAACTGAACTACGACCTCAGTTAAAAAAATACGTTGAAAATGTTCGCGAAAGGAAAACAGATGAATATACAGCTGCGTATAAGTTTGTTGAAACACTTAAAACTCCAATTGAATCAGAGCTGCAAAAAAACATGGGTCTAAAGGTGGCAGAGCGGATGTTGAGTAAAGAGATTTACAGAAGCAAAAGTAAATTTCATGCCAATGTTCTAATCCAACTTGGAAAGGAATGTAAATTCCCATTGTACGTACAGTATCTAAGGAACCCAGTTGACTTTCTACGAGCGAAACTAGAAGAGTCATTTGAAAGCGACTGTAAAAACAGCCTGCTTCTCGAGGATCAAACATCTATTTATGAAAAGGAGATCAAGGAGATAGAAAATGAAGTTTTAGCAGCTATTTCAAGTTTTGTGAGCAAAGGGTCGGCTTGGATTCAGCGATTTGTAATCGAGCCTTTAGAAGATATCGTAGTTGATCTAGAAGATGTTGACGAGTTTCAGGCCGAAGTTGAAAAATTGATAAAGGATTTTGGACAAACGTTAATAAATCGCGGGTTGGATCGTGAAACTATTCAAAAGTGGGATCCACAACCGGTCGAGGTCTTATTTAACAAAATGATGGGATGTCAAAGTCTTTGCCCATTCTGCAAAGCTTTGTGTGATCTTAGCGTTGAAAATCATTCTGGTAAGCATTCAACAAAATTTCATCGCCCAGAAAGCATACACAAAGGTTACAAAGGCTGTACAACAAATATTTTACTTACTGAAATTTGCACAGAAAGTGTTGCTGGTAATGGTCTTTTTCGAAACCCTGATACACAAGGAAAACTTCATTATTACAAAGAATATCAGTCAGTTAATGATTATTATGGATCTTGGTTAATTCCCGAAGATAAATCAAGTATGACATCCAAGTATTTTCAGTGGTTCATGGCAACCTTCTCGAAGCAATTAGCAGAACACCACCGTGCCAAAGAACCCGATATTCCAAAAGCATGGAAACGGATTACGTTTAAGGAGGCAAAAGCACAATTGCAACTTGAATACAACCTTTAAATATAACGCCAAATTCTGAAAGAGAACCAGTCCCAAACCCTTTATGCATGTAAACAAATATATGCCGAGTTTTTGCGCGTTTAGATATTAGTTTACTGTAAAAATTAGATCTTTAAAAATTACATTACTGTAAAAGTAACTTTGCTGAAAGAATCTAGTAACTCCGCGCCAAGTAAATCAGGACTTTCTTTGGTAACTGCTTCCTTATAATAATATTTATGTATAACTCAGTAGGCATAACATTGGCAGTAACTGCAACTTATTTTTACATTAAGGCAGAATATTTTTTATTGAAACTCATTTAAGGACACGATAAAATTAAAATTTTAGCAATCCATTTACTATATAACAATGACAAAAATATTACAACAAGAAATAGCTGCAAACAAATTTACATGCATTACTACATGTCAAGTGGTGGTTGAAGAAGAGTTGGTTGCTGCTTTAGTGGTCTCAAAGTGGGTTGCTGCAAAAAGCATACGGCGATGACTAAAAAGAACAGGAATTTTCCTGCATGCAACACTTATACTCTACTTTATTCCTATGAAGTTTTAGGTTGAATTTTTCAGATGTACATAAGTCTTCGACATAGTAAATATTGCTTATTGTCATAAGAGTTATTGTCATAAACGATTATGAATTAAACACTTACAACATAAAATAGAATGACACAATTAGAGGGAATGAAAAATATTCGTGAGCATGGTTTAGCGCGATGTGTTGAAAAATCAGATTAAATTAATCGCCATTTGTGGTCTGTTGAATTTGCGGTCACATTGCTTTGTCTGTTTTTTTTTAATTGAAAAGTTTCCATTAAATTATTTTCAAATGAGTTTCTAGCAAACTGCCAAGCTACATATACACTATAACTCAGTTATACCAAATATTATCAGTGTTTGATAGGTTTCGTTTATCCTTTCATGAACAGTGTTTTTCTACGTGTTCGAAAAACCGTACAATGAAGCTATTCCGAGAACGAAATATTTGCAGATTATTCACCCATTCATTTATATATAAAGCCAATTTGTCAAGACCGCTTACAGAACCAAGATGACTGGAATCTTACCCCAGAGAATGTACGAAACAAATCGTTAATTAATGGCGGCCATATGAAACTCGTTTAACAATCTTTTTACATGGAATGGAAAGCATCGCGTGATGACACTAGAAGTTAACTGCAGAACATTGGTGTTCCAAAAGATTCGAATTGTTACTCCTGGTGAAATGAAAAGAAATGAAATAAAAAGAAATGAAAAAAAATGAAAAGAAATGAAAAGAAATGAAAAGAAAAGAAATGAAAAGAAATGAAAAGAAATGAAAACAAATGAATACAAATTAAAAGAAATTAAAAGAAATGAAAATGAAATGAAAAGATAAAACCAATGGAAAAAATAATATGCATTGAGGACGCTAATAAACGTTTCCATCATAAAAACGGGAATTTCGAAAAAAAATTAGAACTGAACAATCATGGAAGTGCAAGAACGCTTTAACCTCAACCATACAAAGACGTTGATTGGTTTTTAGGCCTTTAAAACTGTTAAAACGAAAGCCGTTTTATAAGCAAATTGCATAGCAGATGGACCTTACCGGATGAACAATGTGTCAAGTATGTCATTCGCAGAATACCTCCATTTCAACGTTTTTTCGATTTTTACGGTAGAAAAGTGGGAAAATAGCAAAGGAAAAAAGATTATATTTAATTTTTGCACGTAGTGCAATTCGATTGTTTGGCAGTTTGACCTAGAAAAGTTCTATTGGATTGCGAATAAAGTACTAAATTCGAAGTAAGATATGTCAAATAATGTGAAAGTGAAAAATAAGCAATGTGATGGCAAATTTGAATGATCTTTTACTAAAGAACATCAAATCCAATTTCAAAATTTTCTTCCGCAATGTTTTGCAATGTTTCAAGCAAAGAACATTTTAAAGCAAATTTAGAGAATTTTTTTCAACATATCGTAACCATATCTATTTCATGAGCTGCGTTATCTTGTATTCATTTTTTTAATTAGAAGTAGGAAATTTATAATATTATTAATGAAACAAATGTAGGATATTAGATTATAGCTACCATTAAGTCAATACCAGTTGTAGCTACTTTCACTTTGTATTCACATTCATATGAAATTTAACCTTTTCTAAAATTGCTGATTGTGGTCTGAGTCCTAACTAATCATAGAATTTAAATTCTATGATTTTAAATTTCATAGAGTTTACAAATTTGAGGTGGACATTAAAAAATCAGTAAAGTAAGGTCCAGTCGACGGAACACTGGCAGCTCTAATAAATCACATGCATATATGGCTGCGATATGAAAGGTGGATAAAACAGCAAAAAGAGAATGAACTTACTGCTTTAGCGTTTTTTTCGCAATAAAAAATGCTTTTAGAAACAAGATAGAAGATACAAGCAAAAGAGGTCAACCGAAATTGCTAACAAAAAAATTATTTTATTATTTTTATTATGGCAAAAAATTACATATTATTATGCGCTATAGCTATAAACAGACTGCGGCGAAAAACATTTTTATTTTGGCCACAAGTCCTTTCCGTTGTAATTTCGTCACTAAATGTTTTCCCCACTATTTAAAACCGAAATATACTAGAGCTTTAGCATATAAACTAGAGATACATGCATGCAGCAACCCCTCGCTTCGATTAAACGAAGTTAGTTATAGCATAGGGATGGTAACACGATTGTTAGAAAATTAGTGTGGGTTGGGGGTTTTGGAGGGTACTTGGTATGTGACTGTTAAAAAAAGAAATTGAGAAAAGTATGGAAATATTTTTCTGCACGTGGTAGCACCGTAGTCATAGCAACTCGTAGTCACAGCAAGTTTAAAGCATAGAGATTATAAATAACACTAGAGGGGGCATTGGTGTCGTTTAAAACGACATATTTTGGCCTTGGACATCGTGAATGAGTGAACGTCCGGGACTCGAATTCACCCCCATTAACGCGCTCCCCAATTTCCTCTCGATGACCCCTCTGGTGTTATTGATAATTTCTATGGTTTAAAGAATCAAAGTTTGCCCCACTGAGCTAAATAATAATTCCCGGAGGACTTGCTCCTCCCATTTCAGTAACTTTGAAGCAAAAAACATGGCGGACTTTGCCTTCTGCGCAGTGCGCAGAATCTCTGCTGGCGCCACTTGGTTCCTTTTAGCCATGGTATTTACCTCTGACCAGGCTCAATTCTGAGTCCGCTACAGCAGCATTCTCCCACCTGGATTTTCTATATAACAGTCCCCCCCTGGTTTATATGAATCTTTTTGCCGTGTATTTTTTTTTTGTTTTCGTCCTGCAATAAAGTTTTTATTTTAAGATGAATAGAAGTCATAGACGCAGTTTTTTGCCAATGCGAGAACAAATATATATTAAAATATCAAAAAAATGTGGACAAATTAAAGATTTTAATACTGACACGAACTGACAGGTTTATATATACCACTTATTAACCGAATTTGAGGTCCATACTAGAAAAATATCAGACCGAGGTCTTGACAGTACGGACCGAGCGATAGCGAGGTGCGTACATAAAAGACCGAGGTCTGATATTTTTCCAGCACGGACCGAACGTATTCGGTTAATAAGGATTCATTATATGGCATACAGTATTTAGTTTATACAATGCGCTGCAGCATTCTTGCCGGCTCTTTCGCCAGCCAGTCGCCAAGCAAGCACTGAATTGGCTTCCAAAACTTTGCTTTTTACTCGTTGGACCGTTACTACGACAACGGTCTAATACTGGGAGATTCCAGACCGGCAAAGAACCAATCAGCGCACGCCATTTTAGTCACGAGATGGCGTGCCATATAATAAAAACGTTTATTTTCGGGTTTATTACTTTATTACAATTGAAGAAACACTGCTCAGTCTAGCCTCCTCTGCAGGCATCTCTTATGTATTTATATTTGGTTTGTTAGCTGCGTCGGCGAAGTTGCGTAACTATAACATTGCACTGTAATTAGCTCATGTACCAAAGATCGAAAATACGATAGTATATTTGCTGTTTATACCATAAGTTTTGATAGATTTAATGGCTCAGAAGCTTTGGTAATCAGACTAGTCATGCCAAAGACATGTAGTCCAAAGACAAAAAATCTTGAAATTATCATAAAAATCAGTACGCTTGCGATGACAATATACCTGCATTCGCAGATACAAAAAAGGCTTACCTGAATGCTAAAAAAATTACTCTCCCTAATCCGCCATCTTTCTGGCTACGCTTTTTGGTGACGAGCAGGTCCTCCAGGAATTATTATATAGCTCAGTGGTTTACCCTCATATTTTTGTGAAAAAATGGCAAAAATACCACAAGATTCTAACCTTTTTCCGGAAGCTAAGTTACTCATCTATAGTCAGTGTCATGGTAAATTATTTCAATTATTAATTACCATGAAATATAACATCAGACGTCTCATACAACTTCCCAAGTTTTATGTTTATTATGCCTCGACTGGTTTTTGCACGGGAATGTTTTGATTTTCTTTTCTTTTTGTCATTGTGAAAACGGAATTTATAAATGAAATTATAATGTCGTTTATCACATAACACATTCAGATTTATAGTTAAATACATTTGAGAATATTAAAGTTGCAATTGTGTTTACCACAAAAGAATTACTCTTTAAAGCTGTGCCGAAAGAAATATTATCAATTGTAAAATCTTCCGACTTTATTATACACCGGAATTCGGTCGAAAATTTGGTCTTGTTATTTGTTAAACAGTGAAAAGTCCTGACCACATTCCAGCTTCTCTCTAATTTAATACAAAATACATATATTCCACATTTATAAAAATGTAAATTTATATATACATTTCATCAAAATTTTACGAAATGACAGTTATTCATTGAAGTTTGAAAATACAAATTTTTGTCTCGACCAATCAAGAGCTTGGTAGTTCACACTGCTACATGCTCACAATGTTGAGGACCGTCCATGGCGTGAGGTCCATTGCATAATGGCGGACGACTTTGATTTCGCATTTGCACA